TTATCTTAAACTGATGAATATTCATCATTTGTCTTCTGTTAACTTAGAATTTTTGCCACCTAGAATTACTGGAGAATATTTATAATAACTCCATCAAATAAAAACATTTTCTATGATTAAAAATTATGAAATAGTTTTTAAGAGCTTCTCTGAGTGGTTCAATAAAGCAAAGCAAACGAAACAAAACAGAAGTCAGCCATCAACCAAACCAAAGCTAACGTAGTTCAGGTCCACTGCCTTAAACAACAAATCAACAGATCCAGCATCGAAAAGCAGGGGCTATAAGAAATGAGCAACTGTTTTGTCTCAGTACTAATAGAACACTGTGCTGTGAATTCAGGAAAGAAGAATTAAATAATGTATTGGAATCTCAGAATTGGGTAACTTAGGTCTGAGTTCTACGTAAGTGCTAATTTGAAAAGGGTCAAATAGTCATGCTCCACACGTGAAGCCCCGCCCCCTAGCTATTGCCACCTCCGAAGCCCTATTTGTTCACGTGCGTCTGATCATTTATACAGACAGCTAAATGTACTTAACCATATTTACATTTGTTCCTCTAAAGGTACTTAGGTAGGAACAGTAAGGTTAAAAAAAGAACCATTATTTACTGAGTGCTTGAAATGTGCCAGGCACTGTTCTAAGCTTTACATAGAAGGCTTCATTAATTCTTCCGGGAGACCAACTTTGTGAAGAAAGCATTGTTATCCCCCTTTATAGGGAAGATGCTAAGTGAGGACCAGGGTTCACTTGCTCAGGGTCACACAGCTGAAACCCTAATCCAGCAGCCTGCTCCTTTAACCACTTACTTTCCCCCTAAAAAAGTGCCAAGTAAAGAGAACGAGAAAGTCCCAGTCTAACCACTTGGTTCTCTTCCACATAATGATCAGTCATAGAGAGTGACTGATGGCTCATCATGTCTAGGAAGTGTGCTTGAGGGCTGGAGAGATGGCAGCTCAGTGCTTAAGAAGAACGAACACTGGATGCTTTTCCAGAAGACCAGGGTTGGACATGGTGGTTCACAATCGTCTGTAACTCCAGTTTAGGGAGTCCCATCAGTTTCTTCTAGCCTCCATGGGCACTAGGCATACACATGGTACACATACATACATGAAGACAAAATACCCATACATATAAAAAATGAAAGATCCAAAAAAGGAAGTGGACTTGCGTGGACACCCAACGTCTTTCCCACAGTGAACAAGGGCAGATGGTGACTGGCGTGGAGACTTAGCTGGACCTCCCCTGACCCTGCCCACTTGCACAGGCTCCCTTTAAGAGGATAACAGTAAGAAGCCCTCCAAGAGTAAGGATTAATGAGATGACTTATTTCACACAGGATGTCACATGAGTATTATTACTCCTAACATCTGACCCTGTTCTTAGTGATCTGGGATGAAAGGCTACACAATCATGAAAATAATTAAGAAAAAAACCACAGAAGGTTCCATAAAGGAGAATTTCTCAAACTGGATCAGAGCACCGACATGTTTGGGGCAAAGAGGGGGGCAAGAGGAAGTAGGTGGCAGTTATACTGAGGAGTGGGCTGTAACTGATGCCAGATCTGGACCCAGTGTTTTCTCAGTTCATTGTGCACAAGGTGTTTCATGCATGAGTAAATATTTTGTCATTGTAGATTAAGTAAATTGCATTTATCAAATACCTTTTATATGTAAGGCATTGCAATAGGATTTTCTCACATATGACATATCATTAAATGCATTGGTATTTCAGTGGGTCTTGGCTGGAGCTTCGTGCATTCCTGGACTTGAGAAGGGACAATCATGATTCAGAAGATGTGAGTTACCTAGTATTTCTACAGATCCACATGGGCTCTTACATTAGGGGTTGTGCTATGAATACACACAATTGCATTTTTGTGACTGGACAAGTTCATGCAAAAAGAGTAGCTCAATACATTGCAAATCTTCAAAAATAATTCAGTTTTTAAAAATAATTTATTTATTTTTACTTTATGTATGTTGATGTTCTGCCCACATGTATGTCTGTGTGAGGGTGTTGGGCCTCCCGGAGCTGGAGTTAGAGACAGTTGTGAGCTGCCATATGGGTGCTGGGAATTGAACTTGGGTCCCTTAGAAGAGCAGTCAGTGCTCTTAACCGCTGAACCATCTCTCCAGCCTAGTTTTTTTGTTTGTTTGTTTTAATTTAGCAATTAGCAGAGGTGTGATGCTTAACACTAGTCTTTCTCCTGTGCTAACAGGGTCTAAATATTTGAAGACACTAACCTGACTTTTCCTTCCTATCCAGAGCAGAGCACCAGCTCTGTGCTTGCTCCTCCTACCGTGGGTAAAGCTGATGAGGAAACAGCTAGCCACCCACCTCCTTCCAAGACAAAGAGCAGGGTTTGCTTTGCCTTCAGCAACCAGGTCTTTCCTCAATGGCTTATCACTCTTGCCTGGTTAACTAGAGGGATCTTCTTCCTGTCTGCGTAGACTCTACATCAGTGGTTCTCAACCTTCCCAATGCTGCGCCCCTTTAGTACAGTTCCTCATGTTGTGGGGACCCCCAACCATAACATTTTCATTGCTACTTCATAACTGTAATCGTGCTACTGTTATGAATCATAATGTAAATGTCTGTGTTTTCTGATGGTCTTAGGTGACCCCTGTGAAAGGGTAGTTCAACCTCCCAGGGGGTCATGACCCACAGGTTGAGAAGCACTGCTCTAGTATTTCCTTTCTTCATCTGTCTGTCATTCATAATGTGACTCCAGTCACTATTCCCAAACGAGTAGATTGTTCCTCTGCATGAAACTTGCACTGACTCCCTATTGCCCCCAAGATGAAAATGGAAGGGACCTCACATGCCATATCAAGGTTTTGCTCCTGGAAGCATTCTACTTTTCCAAAGCCAGTCAGCTATTGTAGTAACAGTGGACAATATGCTCTATACTATGACTTTGAACTTGGTCCTCTGAACACTGAGGATTTTTCATAGACCATTTTCAAATAAATTCCTATCTCCTTATATTTTCTTCAACTTGTTTTATAGAATAATTGCTATAAAAATTAGAAGAATTATTTCCTCTATACTTCCATTAAAAATTTTATAGCCTTAGAGTTAAGAAATATTAAGATTAGAAAGGGACCTAAAGTTGGATACTTTAACACAGAGAGTCCTTTTTGGGGGGATTCAAGCCCTGCCCCTCATCCCAGGAATTGCACAGGCCAGCCTCATGAGTGTCTATGAGCACCACCCACGCACAGCATTTTCGCAGCCAGTACTGAGACTCACTGCCAAGTGCTCTTGGTGCAGGTTTAGTTTCCATTGAAGAGATGAGTCCAACAGTGTTATCAGATGGGTTCTGTAAAGATGACACACTCACAGCTTTCCCCCGTGTTTTAAAGCACACTATCGTTCAAAGACAATTATCATCTGAATTTTCATGAACAATTCTGAATGTGCTTAATTAAACTTAGTAGCTAGCTCTTGTTACTAAAAATGGCCATGAATAAAATGTAAACTGTTTTTATGTATTAAATAAATAAATACTGACGTTGGTAAAAATAATGAAAATTCTATTCTATTTTGTAAATATACACAGAGTCTTTACCAGACCTCTAGTTTATAGTTAAAATATACTTGGAATTGAACAATAAAAAGGGAGAATTCAGTTATTAATGGCAGTAGACATAACTAAATCGGAGATGATCTAGTCTCAATTACCGTTCCTAATATATCAATGCCTATCAGAAAAGAAGTTTAAGGAAAATATGACAGTGTGTCAAAAACAGCTTAACTACTCTGTGGAATAATTTACCTGTTTTCAAATACATGACTTACCTAGGGCTTGAACTAGGCCTTAGCTGTAGTGATGACATATACCATCAGATGAGGGAACTGATCCCATACAGAACCTCATTACCACAAAGGATTTTGTAAATTAAATAGTAATTTACAAGAGCTTAATGGCTGTAGCATATACTTGGGATAAAAACAAAATGCCTCATTCACACTGAGGATTAAATGAAAGTGCTACAGATTTTCTAATCTGAAAACATAGTGAGATAATTCTTTTCATTGCTTCTCTTCATTAAGGACCAAAACGTGGATCTATGCCAGCAAACTGTGTTCCTATAATTCAAAATATACTACTTTAAAAACATTACAAATTTATTTCTTATTTAAAGTTTAGAAGGTAGGGCCAAACTCCAATCCTATAGGAGTCTGTGGGAGTTCTCAGCAGGGGCCTCATCCTATGCAATCTGCTAATAATGAATCACTTTTTCTTGTTTATTTTAAGAACTCTGCCAACAAGTTGGGGTTCACAACATAAATGTACTTTAGATAAAGATATTGTAAACAGAGTATGCAGCTGCAAATTCAGCACATTATGATAGAAATTCGTTTATGGTCCTATGAATATAAAACAGCAAGTCAGATGGATATCTCAGATGCAATCTACCATCCTAGACTGCGAAAACATTCTAGCCATGATATTAAAATAGCAAACCTTTGCAGAGCGTTAACCTATCATTACTCGGAGTAAATGGCATGACACTGCCACCTAATTAGCAGTGTGGCTTGCATCTATAAAACAGAATTAGCACCACTGCTCCTTTTTTATTCTTAGTTTGTGTTTCCACAAAGGTATGACCTTATCTGTATGCTTCTGTGTTCATTTATGCCCATCTACAAAGGATTTAATTATGTTCTTTTGGTTTTCTACACTGAGGAAATTGAAAACTGCCACTTGGAAATTAAAAATCTTAAAGAAATTAGTGAGCAGATTATTTACAACACACCCTTCTTTCGGAGATAAGGAACAGAATGCCTTTGATTAAGGGAGGCATACATTTTTCAGAGAAGGAAGCCCCAGGCAAGGAGGTTCTTACTAGTCTTCTCTTCCTCCTCCCCACATGAATTCCTCCAAGTTTCTCTACTTGTTTGGGCCAGAACTAGTTAAATGGAGAGTGTCTTAACACTATAAGGTTCCTAAAACTTCTATCAACTGGGTCGGCAGCCAGGAAACATCAACTTACATCTGAGGAAGGCGATTCGAGAACAATGCCAAATCCCAGGACGTGGCTCTCCTCAGTGGAGGTGTGCTCTGCGGCTTGGAGAGCGGGTGGCCTTGTGGCCATGGCTGCTGGCTTCTTCTCAATTTCCAACGGACTGGGCTTTGGTTTCACAGTCACAGGTTCCATAGTCTTTGGAAGCACCTTTTTCTTTTTATTTCTCTTGCGTGAGACAGCGGTTCGCTGGGAGCATATAAGGGAAATTGGGGGTTGTTGTCTGTTTTGAGTTCCAACTGTGGACAATAAACACAAATATGGTACAGGCACTTGTGTCTGAGGAAAACCTACCCGGGTGTGTCTCTGTGATTTACAAACTGACAGTGAAGTGAGGTTCCCTCAGGAGGAAGCACAGGTAGGTAAGTCTCACTCTGTACAGCAGGGCTGCCAGAGGCAGCCAGGGTCACCTTACAGTCCTAACAGCAGAGCATCATCCAGGAGAAAACTACTCTGAACATAGTGGACCATGGACCACTACAGCATCCTGGCTTCAACGGAAGGAAAGGGTTAAGAGCTATGGAAAAATATGGCTTCATGAATCATGTGACAGGTTGGAATGAGAACTCCAGAACTTAAATTTAGGTATAGATGCTCATGCTCTCTGGTAAGCTCATTTCAGCAAAACCCCTAATGTCCCTTAGAGTTCAACTGATCAGTTACAGTCTACAAGGGCTGAAATGATGATATTTTGGGCAAGACTGGTTGAAAGAAACCGTTTGGAAGAATTCTATCTAGAACAGGGCTGGGTAAGCACATGGGCAAGTCATGTTGATCACTTAATCCTGCCAAGTCTTTCTTTCCTCATCAAGTATCCTCTGCACATCAACTAGCTTCAGCGTGCTGTGTTCCACGGCATCAGACCAGGCTGCTTGCTTCTCCAGCTCTCGTTTTTACATAGTGAAAAGCAGGGATGGCATGGCTGTGAGCAGGTCAAGTCCATCAGCAAGTCAACAAATGGTACAGTGGCAAGTGTTCACAACAAACACATACTTGAGGAATCCAAGATGGCAAGTTTACTTTTCACAGGGTGCTCTGAGAAGGAGCGGATCAACCATTCTGATGGAATGTGAAATAGGAAAATATGGCTTCAATTTGCATCAAATCCTCCCCTATCAACATGGCTTCCTAAATAAAGACTACAAGGTGTGCCTGCTTTTTTTTTTTTTTAAATAGAAAGAAACCTATAAACACAACCACATGAAAACCAAGTCTTTAAATGCACATCAACACAGCCTACTTCCTCTTACTTATTTCCTGTAAGTCTGGAAATCAAGAATATTTACACTGATCCAAATATTTTTCCTCTGCACTAGAAGGTAATTTCCAAGTTTTACTAGCTGGATTGTTTCACTATGCACATGGTGATTAGTGACAATGGTTCTAGATCTTAACTACACATTAGAATCGGTGTGGAGTTTTGAAAAGTACTCCTATGCCTTAAGAACCTGTCCTGGACTCAGTGGGTCAGAATGTCCAGTCGTGGGGCCAGGGCATCAATATCACTGCAAGGATTCTCCAGAGACTCCAGCACACAGCCAGCTGCATTTTAGTTCCAGGCAAGCCTGTCTTGTCCACAGGGTCAAATGGACTCCAGAAACTGTGAGCAGGAATAGCTAGGCTGCAGCCCCCAGACCCAAGCTCTTTCTAAGCTCAGTTGTTGAAATGTTTTTGGTGTTCAGACAGGGCTACTGAGTCTCGCTTCTGCAAGTCTTGAAAGAGCCCAGTCTTCCTGGGCTCAGATCTGCCTGATCTAAGTCCTTGCCTTCCTGTAAAACAAAGGTGAATCTTTCAAAGTAGAATTTCAATCTAAGTCTCACGGGCAATAAACTTAAAGTAAATCTGCCCACATACCATGGATTTTTAAATTGGAGAAAATTAAAAGAGAGTCGTTTATTTAGTTTATCCTTTTTGTTCTCCACAGCTCTGGAATCATTTGCCTCGCTAATCTGCAAAGGTTCAGAAGGGAAAACATGGCGACAAAATGGCATTTACTTAATAGATTCTAAAAAGGCTCCCGTCAAGGATTTACATGGGTGCAATTTGCAGTCTGCCATTTCAGTAGTAAGGAGCTTAAGTAACAAAATACATCATTACAATTTCATATGCATGTTTTTTAAGTACTAACAAATTCCCTCTCTGTGAACAGCACCTACAGAGTGAAGTGACCTTTCTTTCTGAGGTCCTCACGCAGGAGATGGCAGCCTCTGCCGGCTAATATGGACACAGGGTGTCATGGTGGAACAAGTGAACCAGGTGCCTACTGACTTGACAAAACGCTTATTTCTGCCTTGGGACAAGGCCAAATTTGGTCCTTAAAAATATGTTGCCTAGAAATCCTTTTGGTTTCTCTATAAATTTGATTGTGGGCAACTGATACATCTAAGTATTGAGCTTTGTATATCAAAACCACATCACGGAATGTGAGGATTTTACTAGAATGCACGGGCTGGTACCAAGTGCATTTTCTGAGGGATGACTTTGTGAACACCAACCATGATGGGCAGAAGAGCCATCAGCACAGGGCTGGGCTGCTTTCCTACATTAACATCAACCAGCAGTTTCCCCATCGAGAGGGATTTGTTATTTTTTGCATATGTGACAAAATAAAAATTCCAATTTCCTTACTAATTGTGAAGATTGGAAAATAAACCACTAACCCTTGACTTCCAAACTTCTACAGAATGCTGAGGGACCTTTAGAAGACACTGAGGTGTGCATCCTACCTTACCAAATCTAATTTTCTGTTACTATCTCCTTCACATTTAAAAACAACACCAAGAAGTAGATATTAATAGTCCATTCAGAGATGAGAATGGGAAGGCCTAGAAGTCGTCCAGCTAGAGGGTGAGAAACTGGGAATTCAATTCCCAGCTATACACACCCTGTTCCATTGTTCACCTTCCCCAATGACAAAGAGAAGAGAAAGTCAAGTGAAGGAAGCGGACAGACACGAGGTACGTCTGATCATCTACACCCTGATGCAGGCAGCGAAGTCACAAGCAGAGCCTGTGGCTTGCCACTTCTCATTTGCTCAGGTCCTTGAGCGTCTTCAACAGGGAAGCTTATATTTCCTGAAGGGCTCTTTCACATAAGATATTCCAAAATTTAATTAACTGGCATTTGTGAAGTACCAGGAGATCATGGGATGAAGTACGCCAAGTTCATGTGCATAAGCCTGACAGCAGTATTGGGGCAATAACAAAATCTGTTTGATTTGCTAAGAAAATAAAGTAAGACAAAAATCACAGGTTGTTGGAAAAGTCGAGAAAATGAATAGTTGAAAAGGCACAGCAAGACAGCAAGGGGGGAGGAGTGTGGGACAAAAGGACAACGCACACAACTAAAGATGTCAGCTCCACACTCACAATCAAAGGATGCATTGGAGGGCTGAGCTTTGTACCTGCTTGAAACTGCATTAATTTCCTCATGGTCTTGAGTTCTTGGAGAATGGCCTGCAACGTTGACTGGCAGTTACAAGTACAACAGTTGGATCCAGCTGATGAATTCACCCCTGGAAGTTCTCCTAAGCATGAAAGAAAAAATGATATACTTCCAAAGCATGCAAAAAAAAAAATAATTATAAAGAAAAGAAAAAAAAAACATACCTTGACAGGATTTTGAAGTATGTACAATTATCATCAAACTGTGCCAGAAGAAAATGTACCTAGTAATTTTCACAACCTGAATTCGGGGGTCTGACTTTATCTAATTACCCAGCCTTCTGTTTGTAAGGAGCATGCTGGGTCACAGGTAGCGGGGTCTGTGTGAACGCAGGCACACAATGCTCTGCGCCAAGGCAGGCCTGTCTACTGCGAGGCCAGTTCATCTCTGAGAACAACACTCTGACAAGTCATGATAAACACTCATGCGACTTTCTGTTACATTTCTGGTTGTGAGCCTAGCCTTAAATGGCTGGGCCATCTCTCCAGCCCTCATGCGACCTTCTCAAACAGTAAAAGCAAAACCAGAAAGTCCCAGGTCTGCATCAGCCTCACAAAACCCCTGCTAGCATGCATGTTATAAAGTTCACATTAAGAACCAAGGCAGCCTAACGGAGACTAGCCTGACTGGTCAGCCTGCAATGTCAACAATGAAGAGCTGTGGCTACACAAGAACTTCTGCGACAGTCTCTGCTGGGCTGGGGACAAGCAGGAGGCAGGAGGCAGGGCCTGAAAGCTCCGAGGTATCTGTAGGTTGCTTTTCTTCTTGAAGGAGTACCCCTCTTTTCTCTACCCTGCTTCTTACAATCTCCATCACCACAGTCTCCTTCTCACTGTTTAAATTGAATGATTTTCCTTAACAAAGCTACTCTCCTCTGTTTCCCCTGTATATGCACAAGTATTTCCGCATTGTTTGTGAACTAAAACAGCACATTTGGGAAAAAAGCTCCGCAGCTGGATCTCTCCAGCCCCAGGTTATCGGCCATGAATTGGGGCAGTCTAAGGGGCAGCTACGTAAGTTTCCAACAGGCAGGGGAGGTCAAGTTCTAAGGTTTTGTTCCAATTCTGTTTTATATATTGGCTATAATCCAACTCCAATAATACTCATTATTTGTAGATACTGAAGTTTACCACAGCAAAACCACAAAAGAATTAAAGGCTACTTCTGCAGAAGTGAAAGTATTAACATTCAAACACTAGCAAAGAGAGGTGACCCAACTTGAGTATTACCAACTATCCCAAAGAAACACATGGCAGTCACAGCTGTATCCTAGTGACCCTTGAGCAGCTCTTGGAGGTGCCAGGGCATAGCCTCAAGTGAAGCTGAAGATCCTACTCACTCTTAATTCCCCACAGTGGTAACAGGAGGTAGCTGAAAAATTTACATTTGTTTACATTTCTCTTAACTGCAAATCACATCATGAATAGTCTATAGTGTTTGTGTGCCTAAGTTGTAATAAATCTTGATTTTTTTTTTTAAAAATAAGAGGTGTATGTATTTTGGTAGTAAATGATAATGGTAAACAATAAATTATATTATCTACATATTTTATGCATTGATGACATGGCTAACTTTCCCATAATTTTTTACTCTCTCTAGGCTCTGAGGTCCGTCTGAGAATTTGCACAAACTGTTGCAAATCTCTAGAAAACAGCTTTCTACAGACAGACGTGCATAATTCCAACATATGTTATTCAAAGGCCAACTGTATAAAACGTTTATGTGTCTATGTGTGCATGGTATGTGTGAGTATATATACAAAATCCTATGAGCGTGCATGTGGGTGTGTAGAGGGCAGAGGTTGATGTCAGCTGTCTTCCCTGAACTCTCTCCACAGTTTCCTGAGACAGGGTCTCTCAATGAACTTGGAGCACACTGATCTGCTCAGACTGTGTGGCCAGTCTGTTCTTTCGGACTTCATCCGGCTAATGCTGGGATTACAGGAGCTGCATCTGCATTTTATGTGGGGTCTGAGGGTTTGAACTCAGGTCTCCACACTACGTGACAGACATTTTAACAAGCTGAACTCTCTCTTCAGTCCCTTGTATAATATATTTTTACTGAAATGATACAAGCAAGAAACATGAATGATCTATTTTGACTCTGATTTGGAGGAATTTTTGGTTAACTTTTAATATTAGTAACAGTTTCTAAAGTAAATCCAACATTCTTGTATATTGGTGAGTAGAATGTTACCCCAAATCACTGATGCGGGAGGATCACACTCACTCTATACCCAAAGGACCCCCTTGTTCTTGTATTGGCAGTAGAGTGAAGAAGGCTTCACAGGAATTCCTAGGCACTAACCTGAGCACTATCTCTATGATTTTTAGAGGACAAAACGAGCCCTTCTCAGCTCATTATAAATCATTTTCCAATTTTAAAGAGAACTGACTTTTAATTTTTATGGAGGAGGCTTTCAGGAGCGACCGTCCTCGAGCCTGGAAGTCTGCCAGCATGTGAACTTGATACTTGCCTATGGAATACTGAGAAGAGAAGACACCGTACAGCTCTAGGGTCCCCTACTGTTTCATCAGTGTCTCAGGATGGCTTCTCAGTCCCCTGAACTGGTTACTGTGAATTGTGTTTAAGGAAAAAAAAAATCAAAACATTTTCCTTATACCAGAGGATATCATAAAATGAAAACGAAGGGAAGAAAATCCTTAACTTTTCAAGGAATCTGAAATGCCTTGTTTTTCCTTTGTTCTTTGTGTAAACTATAGATCTGCACATCCATACATAATTTATAAAGCAAGTAACATCCAATGTCACCAGATGAGAAATTAATATTACCAAGAAAAGCATCAATTATTTCCCTTAAGCTTTGAAACATTTTGGAACCCCCCACTCCCTACTTAACTAAATCAGGGATTTTAAAGAAATTTTACCTTAAAGCAATGGTTCTCAACCTTCCTAATGCTGCAACCCTTTAATACAGTTCCTCATGTTGTGGTGACTCCCAACTTTAAAATTATTTTGTTGCTACTTCATAACTGTAATTTTGCTACTGTTCTAAATTGTAATGTAAGTATCCATGTTTCCCAATGGTCTTCGGTAACCCCTGTGAAAGGGTCTTTCAACCTCCCCCACAGGGGCCACGACTCACAGGTTGAGAAATACTACTTTAAAGGGATGAGTTTCAGCGTTGGAATACAGGTAAAGGACAGGGCTTTTTACAAGAGGTAAAGCTGTGAGGCCTCTCTAACTAGGACTCTCCCGATGATGACGTGAAGCGAAGGGATAAGCAAGAGCATGCATTAGTAACACAACACAGGACCAGGAAGCTTCTATTAGTGCTAACGGGAGCTGCTGCGGCATTAATGTCCAGTCTCTGGTGACAACCCCGTCTGTGTACTGGTGGGTAAGAATTCGTACTTCATTCAAGCTCTGCTAGGAACCTGCTTTTATTTAGCACAGACCCGCTGACTTTCCTGTCAAGTCTGGAGCTCTTACGCACTTAAGACTTTCTCTTTACGCCTTCCCCTTCTGCCTCTTAAAACAACACGGCAAAGGAGTGGAGCTGCTGATGAGTAGAATACTTGCCTAGCCGTGTGAGATCCTCAGTCCCACACAGAGAAAGCAAAAAGAACCCAGCGAGGCGGGTGACTAAGGGAGGCCTTCATAAATTGATCTCCAAGAACAAACTCATTATTTAGGAATGAAACAAGCCAGGATACCTGCCCACAAGGATATTCTGAATGTTGGACAATCATACCATTGGAACTTGCAGAGGTGTGGGGCTGACTCTGGAAGGTTCTAGAACGTGTACCATACTGCCCTGAGAACTGCCCGCTTTGGGTTGGTAGTTCATTCCATGCCCCACGTGAAGGAGGGTGGAGGCCCTGCGGGGCCTCGGCAGCAGAGTTCAGACGCTGAGGCCAGACTAACTCCAAATCCTGGGGCTCTTCTTTGAGTTTTTCTCCTTCTTTGCCAACACGCTGGTATATCCTGCCAGTGCTGTCGTTCAGCAATCTTCTCATCCCTGTGATCTGTTTTTTAATTTCCATGTTTTCATCTCCTAATGGAAACAGGGTCAAAGTTAGCACTGCAACTCAGCAAAAGAGAGAAAACACGAACAGTCCACGGCCATAATCTCCAAAGCAAACAAGTGGGAAATGGGAAAGAAGACTGATCCCATACTCTTAAATAATTTACAAAGTGGAAAGGAAGGAAAACTGGCTATGGCCTAAAGATTTCAGTCCTGACACATCTCATTTAAATGACTTTCTCACCAGGTTCACAATGAGAAAAAGCTTTCTTTAGTGTATGATCAGAAACCAACTTTCAATGTCCTCTTTGGAATTATGGGAGGAGTAAGGGTTCACAGAGGAAAAAGCTGAGCAGAAGACCGAAGATGGGCCAGCAGGATCAACCACAGCCGTCTGTGTGTAAGTGAAATCGACGGCAGGTAGGGAACCAGTAACTTCTCTGCACCCTTATCTGTCAGCCTCAGTGAGCAGAGGCCCAAACAAAGAAGGCTGGAAGCAGAGTTGTTTAAAGCAGGTATTTCCTAGGATGGTATACTGTTGGTGGTGGCAACATTGCCTTCACAGGAGATAATGGGAGACAGAACCCCGAGGCCAGCATAGCGAGCAGGGAGGTCTGTGCTTCTCCTGAATGAGGCTGTTGCATGGATCCTGCTCTAACCACTGGTTGTGTCGGCCTGAGAGGGAAGTGCAGCCTCTCTGCCCTGCCTTCCGCTAGAAACCCAGTTCATCACACTGGACTCTGCAACCCAAAGCCAATGCACATTCCTCGAAGTGCCGACTTGGAACTTTGTGCACAAGGTAACCACTGTTTCTAAACTTCCTGTCACTCACACTGACTTCTTTTGTGACAATGAAAAAATGTGTGTGTTCTAAAGTTCACCATCCTAACTACTTCAAAGTTTACAGTTCAGGAACACATATTTACATTATTGTGCAAATAGTCTCCAGATCTGTTTTTTGAATTTCAACTTCTTTATTAAAAATCTTTCCCCCCCAGGGATTTTTTTTTTAAACCTAGGCACTTCAGCTGGGTGTGGTGGTGCATGCCTTTAATCCCAGCACTCAGAAGGCAGAGGCTGGCAGATCTGTGAGTTAGAGGCCAGCCTGGTCTACATAGCCAGTTCCAGGCCAACCAGAGTTACGTTAGATCCTTCCTCCACCCTAAACAAAACAAAACAACAACAACAACAAAAAACCCTAAGCTATCTCTATGCTATACTTCTATTTAATAAACACAATTATAAAATTGTACAGATATTTCAAGCTGCTACAGACACACTGTCTTCTCTCCTTTCCTGTGGTGCTGGAGGAAAGCCATGGCCTGCTCCATGCTGGATGCATGCTGCACCACCGTGCTACCTGCCCAGGCCTCTGTGACCTTCAATTGTGCAGTAACAAGCATCATCTTAGAAATGAAGTGTGCTTTTTTCTAACATAAGCATTGAAAATCTTATTCCACACTACATACTTCACAGCCTAATAAATGCTTGAAATTTAAAACGTGAGGAGAAGAAAAAGACAGAAGAAACAATTAGGAAAAGTGTAGCATCACAAATAAACATATAATGATGTTTTAATGAATCATATAAACCAAATTTTTCAGATAGAACCCGGTGGTTTCAGAAAAAACCATGCACTCTGTAGTATCTAGTTAGATATTCAGTTCATTAATGTATTTTATTACCAAATGTTGTGCAAGGAAATTTTATAAGCTATTCTGAAATAAGTAACTTCAAAATTTGGGGGTGGGGGTGGAGCCTGGGGATCAACTCATGCTAAACGTGCTCTACTGCAAGCATCCTAGCCCCTTCGATTTTAAAAATGGTAATAAAAATATGAATTTTGCCTTTCATATTGAACAGAATGCAGGAAAAAATTCCTAAATTTACATTATTATGTGCTAATATATGATTGAGAGGAGAAATATCTTAATTGGTTATAAATTTTTTTCTATTTCAAACTCCAGCAAAATTATAATTCGGAAACAATAAATCACATTCCAGATTTTATGAGAATGAATGACCAAGCACGATTTAAATAATGCAGAGTCAACGAAATTTATACCATTCTCACTATGTCTGTGAAGCAGGGTGTGTCTGGAAGAGCTCCCAGAGGGATTTTCTGGAGACAGCCTCCTGGCAAACGTAGACTCTCGGTGTCGGACACTGGCGTTCCCGGCCACCTGACAGCACCCTCAGCAGGAGGAAGCACCTTTCCCGTGTTTCCACTCTCGGCCCCTTTGCTCAGACTGGCCATGAAGCACTGAAGCTGTGCACAGGCCGGTCTCCACTAGCACAAGCTAGCTGCTGCCTTTCCTCTCACTTGTGACTCCCGGGAAAGGAGTCTAGCTAGGCTAACAGGTTCCTGAGCGAGGGCCAGGCCACCTCTCGGCACTAACCCTATACATAACAGGAAGAGAGATGCCTCTTGACCAAGGTTCACCTGTGTTTGGAGGCTAGCACTCTATGATAAAGTGCTACCATGGGGGTGGGAGGAAATCACGAGGATTCTGGAACCAAGTAAGGGCAAAGATGCTTTGTCATGATTTAGTTTCACAGTTCTACAACTTGGGCCTGTAAAGATTAAGACTGAAAATAAGCCGGGTGGTGG